GGCCGACTCGTTCTGGTGACAAGATTTATGTTATCTAAAGTGTTCTGGGACCCCCAAAACAACAAGATACCCCAACTGTCCCTGAAAGTGTTTACAGCATTTATCATTGAGCACAGCTGCACACACACTAGGCTTAACCAAACACTGGAAATAGAACAACACTAAAGAATACCGCAGCCTTAAAACAATGATATTATTTGATTGTGTCTTTACAAAGAGCAACAGACACCAACATGTGCAAACGTACATCTTAAGGATTACACATTACTCTCACTTAAGGACTATGGGTATTTTTGAAGTAGAACAACTTTTGTATCATTTCACAATAATGGTTCAAATATGCAATTTTAAGTCATTTCAAATTTTCTTCGCGCTATCCCCCTCTCAGAGTCTCACAACCCCCAGGGGGGCCCGACCCCCACTTTGGGAACCACTGGTCTAGACCATGCAACTTTTATTTATCTCTATACACAGATTTTACCTAGTGGTAGTCTTATTCATGTCTGCCCTAATAACATCTTAATAAAAGGTAACCTAAAAAAAGTGGATTACTGATTGTAAAGGAATGACATTACAATAGTTTTTACAGTAAAGTCACATTAAATTGTCCTGGAATGAAACCTAATTAATATTAGAGCTGGAGATGATTGGCATTCACCTGGGCTTACAGCACCAGGGGGCATTCTGGTAATTAAAAATGTAAGAGTTGAACAACTGGAAGTCAGAGAAAGAGAGAGACACAGTATGGCAATGTTAGAAACATGTGAGCGTTTCGACCTTTTGGATAGTTAATTTGTTTAAAAAGCTGTGTCGAAGCGAACGATCTGATCTAATTCATCCCAAGGTTGTGTCCCACCTTCTATCTTGTGATTCTATCTAGCCTGTTTCTGTAGTATGTCACGACACAGCAGTAAGATACTCTCAAAGTTCTGTTTCAGACTTATTATTATGCTGACATTTGTTCTGACAGCGACACATGAGCACTGTGAGGCTGATGGGAATCTCAAAGCAGCTCTAGGAACAATAAAGAAAAGGACCCTTTCTCCAGAGGGTCTGGGCATGCTGTATTGTGCTAGCTTAATACAGAAAAGTGCAGTCGTGACATGGAATAATACAGTTGATATAAGAGGTTTCAGAGCATAGCATGGTCTCTTTTCATGTTGTGTCTGACAAAGAATCACTTTAACATGGTCGCTTTTCATTTTCTGTCCTACACAACCATCAACCAAGAGAATCAGCTTTCTCAAGGCTGTCTTTGAAACTTCAGAATCTGTCTAACACAAAGACTGGTAGTGATGGTAAATGGACTTCTATAGCGCTTTTAGTATTCTATTGTTCATTATGTATGTTTTATTTGATAGGGACGGATACATTATACATAGACAAACTGAAAACAGCAATCTAATGCAAGTATCATCGTTTTTATAGCGAGTCTTATTTGCAACGCCTGTCCCTTGAAGGGCTTTTTTGTAGATAAAAGGTTAAAACAGTTAAGTTAAAAAGACTACTTCTGACTACTCAGGATGCTTTTCACACCTAACTGTTAACGTCACTTTCCACCTCTGATGGCAGAGGCTGCTATAAAGTGTCCATCAGTACTTACTAATCCATTCAAACACATTCACAGCAATTTGGGGTGAAGTGTTTTGTCCAAAGGGACGCAGGAAACATCAACATGTGGCTGCAGGAGCTGGGGATCGAACCGCCGACCTTCCTGTTGACCAACTCTGAGCCACAGCTCCTAATAGTATTCTCCTAATAGTGATGATGTGCTGGACCTGACAACACTTAATCACACACACTCACATGTACACACATAAATAGAAAAACACACACAGGTGCAAAAATGAATCAAAATACATATGGACAGACATACAGGATAAAGTAAATGTCAAATATTTACAACTTTGATGTCATAATAGAAAATCACATTCACTATGGTAGATACAGATAGTTACATAAAAGTCATTGGTTATATATGTGTATGCACACATGATACACAAGCAACACACAGAGAAACATTATTTACTTATAATGTCCTTATGAGACGGCAAACACGTTTTGAATATAGTCATAAATTCAAGAACAAACCCAACAAAGACATACAAACACACTCCCTCTCTCTATCTCTCTCTCTCTTTCTCACACACACACACACACACACAAACACACTCCCTCTCTCTATCTCTCTCACTCTCTCACACACACACACACACACACAAACACACTCCCTCTCTCTATCTCTCTCACTCTCTCACACACACACACACACAAACACACTCCCTCTCTCTATCTCTCTCACTCTCTCACACACACACACACACACACACACAAACACACTCCCTCTCTCTATCTCTCTCTCTCTCTCCCACACACACACACACACACACACACACACACACAAACACACTCCCTCTCTCTATCTCTCTCTCTCTCTCACACACACACACACACACACACACAAACACACACCCTCTCTCTATCTCTCTCTCTCTCTCTCACACACACACACACACACACACACACACACACAAACACACTCCCTCTCTCTATCTCTCTCTCTCACACACACACACACACACACAAACACACACCCTCTCTCTATCTCTCTCTCTCTCTCTCACACACACACACACACACACACACACACACACAAACACACTCCCTCTCTCTATCTCTCTCTCTCTCACACACACACACACACCACACACACGTCAGTCCTGAATATGAACCCAGTCAGATGTCTTGCTGAGAGTCTATGGATATTTTATAGGTCTCCTCCACAAATTGTTATGAAACATTCATGAGGTTACAGCTCATTATGTGTGTGTGTGTGTGTGTGTGTGTGTGTGTGTGTGTGTGTGTGTGTGTGTGTGTGTGTGTGTGTGTGTGTGTGTGTGTGTGTGTGTGCGAGTGTGAGATAGAGAGAGAGTGTACTTGAGTGATAATTTCAACAACGGCAAGAAAACGTTGTAGAAGATATGTAAAATGGCAGGGCCTATACCCTTTTCAAAAGGTAAAAGCATTAACCTCATTAACAGAAAAACTATTACAAATGCCAAAATACAAACATGAATGCACAAATTCCATTTTGTGGCATTTGCACTGGTGTTGTAACATCTGCTCATGTGTTGTGTAGTTTGTCTTTTCAGTGATTGTGATTTTCCCTTTTGCAAAGCGTTTTGGATTTTCAATTTGACTGAGCCCACTGACTAAGCAAGTACAACTCCTGTAGTATATTTATTTACTTTATTTGAAAGCAAAATTATCACCTGGTATTTTTTCAAGAGTGGATTTTGTTGTTTAGTTTTCTATCAGTTACCTGTATGAACAATGAGACTGCCTTTGTTTGTTGTAATGGTTCCTTGTGTCAACCCTTACCATTTAAGGTTCCCAACTTGTGTTGTTGTAGACCTTTTGCAGCAGGGCAAAATCCATAGTCACTGTTTTTGGGCAAGTTTTTCTGTAGCTCATAGAAGGCTTTCTGAATGAGTTCCTAAAGGTGATGTTTTGTTCAACTGTCTTTGTGAGACAGTCTATATTTCCAAAATAAATCTTATAACATCAACAAGTTATTATGGCTGTAACTATAGAGTTACAAAGATGTGGCATTGACCAGCAGAATAGGTAATTTGGTTCCTGTACCTGTTTACTTCCGGATACCTTATTATTACCAGCACACCCCCACAGGCTGTAATTCTGGGATAGAGATAAAGTGGTTGGGGGAGCAGGTGGCTGTGTTTGGGTTGTCATGCGAAGACTTTCTACTGTTCAACTGGAAGATTTAGGAGGAAGTAGTTGTATTCTTGATGTGATGTGGCTCCATCTTATGGTAGAAACCTGGTATAACCACAGAGGCCTGACAAGAGTTTGAAATATCTCAAAAAAAATAAAAAAAATGTGTTGTTCTAATAGCATGAAAGTGCCTTATCTGTTGTCCATGTCTTGCTAAGCTGCTCCTTCAATCAAAGCTCTGCTTAATTCCCATCAAATCTAATAGTGTTGCAAATTGACAACCATGGGTTTTTCTGTCATTGGAACCGGCAGAAAAAAAGACCAAGGTGGCTCTGAAAGGCAGCAGATAAATAAAGCCATTCAACCTGCAGCACATAATGGCAGCAAACTGTTGAATCCATCTGAATGTTGCCAAACCCCACAACATTTTATTAAGAAAAGATGCCCAAGCACTGATTTATAAAGCCAGATGTCTGTGCATGTGTGGACCTTTCTCCCTCAGTCTCTTCAGGCAGAATAATCACTGTTTTGGAGGATTTGGTGATATTAGATAATAGCATGTCTTTAACAACATAGTGTAGACTTGGGAGCAGGAAAATTACAAGGCAACAATGTCATATTTGATCTGTGGCTTTATAATACAGGGTCTTAAGTCATATCAAACCTGTAATCCATCCGGCGGAAACCTGCCTTGTTGTTTTGTAAGTTAAAGATATAACATGTGAAGCCTTGTGAAAACTGAGCATGTTTGTAGGATACTAAAATTGGGCAGCAGTCTCTCAGTCTGTAGGGACTTGGTTTGGGAATCAGACGGTCACTGGTTCAAGTCCCGTCACGTCCAGAAATTTGCTTGGTAGCTGAAGAGGTGGTAGTCCACCTGCTGAGTTGCTCTTGAGCAAGGCACCAAATTCCCCCACCAGCTCAGGAGCACCCACTGTGGGTAGCCCCCTCACTCTGAGACCCCTCCATTAATGAATGTCCACAGGATCCTGTTTGTGGACATTCATTTATTGAACAGCCTTTGCTCACTGTGAGAACTGAGGACGTGTCAGAGGCCCATCTGGAGAGTATTACAAAACTGACCGATCTGAGCTATTGGGTTTTTTTCTAGCTCTGGCTGTCTCTATCTCCCCCTCCTCTTTCGGTTTTCTCTCTTATACTTCAGATACAGAAACTCCAGAGGGAGAGGAGAGAAAGAGAGGCTAGGCGAGAGAGAGAGAGGGGGGCTGGGAGGGACTGTGGGCGAGGTTAACTTGGATCCAAATCCACTGGCGCAACAACTGATTAAAGACAGAAAGTTCTCGGGAAACAACTCTGACAAGACTAAAACGCTTACTGAGGGCAGCAGGAGAGAACAGACAAGCCATTCAAGGACCTTTAAAGTTTTTTTCATTAGAGTGACACTTGCAGGAGAATTTAGAAACTCACAGCAAAGGTCTGATTACCACTAAAAAGGCATTTCAGAGACAGAAACATTGAAGTTCTTCCAGCAGCAGGGAGAGTTTTAGTGCTGAATTATTAATAGAAGTCCTCGTCATGTCAAGCAAAGTGCTTCCCATCCTTTTCATATCTCTATGTCTGACTGTTGGTTCTATCTGGAGTCAGGGGTCTTCCCACGATAACTTTATTCTCCAGTACCTTGAGAGGAGACTGGCTCAGATGGAGGTAGGTGTACTTCTTTTTGAGATCATGACCTTTATCATGCAGCTAACATTAACGCACTCTGTCATGTTTATAATCTACTATCTTGTATAAGATTGTTGGCTCTATTTGCCTTAATGTTATAAACATCAGACTTTAATTTAGCAGATTAAGGAATAACATAATAAAAATGGAAACATCTTGGGGCCAAAATATTGGTATACTCTCAGCTGTCAGACCCATGTCTTTATTTTAAGAAGCACCATTTCTTCATTAAAAAGTTGTATTAATTGGTGTTAATGTGTCTTGGTTTTAAAATGCTTTATGTGAGGCATTACTTGCTGAAGAGAACAGTCAATGATACTTACTGTACAGATAAATATTAAAACAAGTGAAACATAATTCATAGCAAGTAACTAAATCATTATATCATTTACATCCACAAAATCAAAACAAAAGTTTGCTAACAATAGCAAATGTGATGCCACCATGGTCAAGAGCCAGATGAGGAGTGTGTTGTGAGAAGGAGGATTGCTTTGGTTCTGCATTCTTTACACTTTGTGTCATTCAGGAGCGTCTAATATCTGCGAGCAGAACACAGTGGGTATCACCCAGAAGACTTATGATCTCTCCTCTGAAATCAGAGGTTATCTGTCCACTCTCAGTGTTCTGAGGTAAGCCTGTCAGAAAAAACAACAACTTTATATGTGCCCAAAGTGGGCAATTTTTAGAAAAATAAATGGCTCACATTTTATGTCACTCAATGAAGATAATACAGAAGTTTCTGAAGATGAAACTGTATGAATTGTACTGTATATCTCCATAGATCAGAGACTAAGAGCCAGGTGGACAGTGTGTCTGTCCGTGTAGACCGGGTGGAGAGAGAGTTGGAATATCTTGAGAATAAAATTCCCAGCCAGTCTAATATTGAGATGGAGGAGGCACTGCTAGAACAACAGATAAAGGCTGCAGAACTGGACCAGCTGCAGAAGAAAGGAAGGATCAAGATTGAGAGGGGTAGGAGGTGCACCTGGTCATAATACAGTGTGTGTGTGTGTGTGTGTGTGTGTGTGTGTGTGTGTGTGTGTAGGCAAATATGTAGAGCCTTATAGTGTTCAAAGCTTATGATAAATATGATATAAGGGCTGAAAATGAACAAATAGTAGTTGAGAAAAGACAAAGACTTGTAACCTTAAAAATGACATGATAATGTTCATGACTTTAATTATAATAAGAAACCCAACATTTAATTTTCTTATTTCCAATACCTCCAGACTGCAACACAGCCCTGAGTCAAATCAAGTCTCTGAAGATTGTGAAGAAGACAGGAGATGCCTACGGTTGCTGGTTCAGGGACCCCTCTGAAGGATCAGCCAAGGTCTGTTATTTGTAAAGATGCGGAATGAGAATTATTATAATTTAGTAGTGGACCATTTACAGTAAATAGACAGCTGTCTTCCTGTCTGAGCTTAGGACTTTGTTTGTCTGAGTGTTGAACTGCTGGATAATGATTCCTGACCTTCTTCTTTCAACACTTCTGTCTTCTTGTACTTTTCTCCCTCAATCTCTATTTACTGTATGACAATGCAGAATCTGTGGGTGAGGAAACAGATTTTGCCATCGAATGTTCTGTTTTTGCATTTGTAGTCCAAGTGCAATTGTCCACATTTCACTCATTTCTCTACTCATTACTGTAAATCTCCTAGGTCTACCTGCTCAGTGGAATCCGTAACAGCACTCTGCTGGAGTATGCTTCTCTGCACAGTTTCACAGAGAGGATCACCACACAGCCAGCTAAGGTTCTGAAGCTTCCTTTTCACTGGCAGGGAACCGGTCATGTAGTCTACAATGGATTCCTCTACTACCACAAGGCAGATACACCAAACCAGATATTGAAGGTGTGTGAGTAAAGTAAAGCTTTATACTTTAAATTGCTAACCATTTAGACAGTCTTTGTTAACTTACACTTGGTTTGTAAAATATAAAAAGGATTGGATAAATTGTTTGATTCAGTGGTCACATGACAATGAATAGTCACATTGTGAGGCAATAGTTACCGACTGCTGATTGCAATGCACTGAGTCAGGGCTTACTTTCTAGAACTGCTATGCAATAAATCCTAAGGCCTCTGGTGACCCTTTAATGTTCCTGATAAGGTCATCATAAGGTTGACATTTCTGCTCTAAGTGAAACATCCAACAGCTGTTCACACTGGTGATCCCTTACCTTTATATAATATGGCATCCTTTTGTCCAATCATTTGGTTTAAATACCTACAAACAATAACAGAATTCAAATCAGCCTAAACTACAGTTCCAATAAGGAAATATTAGCTGGATAAGATACCTAAAATAATAAACATGAGTAATCAAATATAATGTTTATTGATTAGCATTGTCATTGTGAGCAACACTATGAGATATAGTTTCACAGAAATACTTGCATAGCTGTAGTATGTTACTCTCTCACCTATCCAGTTAAGTTGGTAGATGTCTGACAGAGTTAAAATGAATTAAAACTTTGATAGAATTTTTAAAATGTTTGCATATTCATCTCTCTCCATTGAAAAAGGTCGACTTGTTGAATGGTACTGTGGTGGACAGTACGCTGCTACCAGGAGCAGGTCGTCTACCCGTTTACAGTTTGAACCCCAACACCTACCTGGACCTGGCAGTGGATGAACTTGGACTGTGGGTCATCCATGCTGACCCTGAGTATGGAGGAAACCTGATCATTACCAAACTGGATAAAGGTAGAGCATACCACCCCTGTACTGTACATAGACACAGATGTATACAGTAGCCAAAGTAGCCTGTAATGTGTCTGTTTTTTGTTTCTATCTCAGGGTCTTTGGCAGTAGAGTACACCTGGGATACACAATGTAGAAGTCGTGATGCTGAGGGAGCCTTCCTTATATGTGGAGCCCTCTATGTGGTATACAACACACGTTATGGAGGACGTTCCACCGTACAGTGTCTCTTCGACATCCATGACACCATCCACAGGTTTGTTATATACACACATCAAGATAGAGCAGCCCACATACAAGGTTTTAAAAAAATATATATATTAATTTAATTGATACTTATTACCAACATTTACCAAATTGTCTCTTCTTTTTGTGTGTAAAATCCATCATCAGTGAAGAGAGTCCTGTGATGTTCTTCCCGAAGCGCTACACCAGCCACAGCAGCATCCACTACCACCCTGGAGAGAAACAGCTGTACGCCTGGGACGATGGCTACCAAACAATATACAAAGTGGAGACAAAGAGAAATGATCAAGTCACTGTTGAATGAAGATTTGTTACAATACTTAACCTTTGAAAACTTGTGTTATCAGTTATCAGAAGCACATAACCCACTGCGGTTTAGCATTTATTCTTTGCTGGAAAATGGATGCAGCATCTTTCACTGTTATTCATAATAGACATACGCTTATGTCCAATCAAAGGACATTCTTCAGTAGACTTTATACTTTGAATCATTACAATAAAGAGCATTTAAGTGTCATGTATATTTTCATTAACTTACCCTCAGAGGCCCAAGGCTTGAGTCCAATGTATGGTCCCCTGCAGCATGTTATAACCTGCTCCTCTTCAGCTGGGCTGTTATTAATGAAGGCCTTGATGTTCTAAAAACACAATTTAAAAAAACTAACAAAATGACTATAGCTGTAGATATATATCAATCAACTTTGCCACCAATGGTATTTGTTTTCTGGTTATACATCATTAAAGTTTGTAATATAACATGTAGTGCTATCAAAACTCATAGCATATATAAATCAACTCATCTGAGTTATACAACAACACTTAAGTTTGATAAAATATACTTTCATATCATTTTCATGTTGTATTCTCAACAAACTCACAGCACACATTGATGATAATCCAGTCCTCTTTTCAGAGTCTATTCCGGTGCATCTTGAACAGGAGTTTAGCTGAATCCATTTTGGTTTTCCGTGGTTCTTATTCTTTCTTCAGAAAATCTTTGTGTGGACAGTGGGGGTCCCCAGACTTTGGCACCCTGATAATGGGGGTCCCGAGATGAAAAGTTTGGGAACCCCTGACCTATATGACTTTAAAATCCATCAAGGATTACCTTTTGCATTGAGACACAACATATATATAAAAAACAAAACATTTTGTGAAGATGAGTAGAGTGGTCCTAACTCCTGAAGACGCTAAAACCCTTCATGAGGCTTTCGTTATGATTTTTTTTTTTTTTCCAACAGCTCATTTATAATATCCAAATCTGAAGCCATGCTTTCTGGAGTCCTCAATTTCATTTAACAATTTTGAAGGATCAAACATAAAAATGTGGTTTGAAAGAGCATGAAGACACAATTTGAAAAGGTGAATGTGTGCTATGAATTTGGTGGCACTACAACATGTTAGAGTACAGATAGCCTAATGCTTATTTTATAACCAAATTTAATTATAAACAAATCCCTAAAAATATATTAAAGCAAATTTCCCAAAGCCATGGAGTCGGGTATGGCTGCATCCTGGCGCTCTCTCGTCTGTGTGCTCTCGTCTCGTGCTCTGGCGCCCCGCTCCTCCAGAAATTTACAACGGCAAGTGCGCTGGGTCAAGAAGCAGTTTTACGAACTCGCGCATTAATTAATATTTACAGCCTATGATTATGTCAAGTCAAGTCAACTTTATTTATATAGCACATGTATAACAGCCGAGGCAGACCAAAGTGCTGTACAGTAAATTAAGCAAAAAACATTACATCCAAAACATCATAAAGACACGTAAAAGCAAAAATGAAAAGTAATTAAAACACAAAACAATAGTAAAAGTTCTAGTCGACACTGCTGCTGGGATAAAACACTCAACTAGAAAGAAAAGCCAAGGAAATCCAATAATTCAAACATTACCATCGCGCCAAAAGAAGATAAGAGTGTAGAAGACGGTGAAGAAGATGGAGTCACTCGCCCGAGGTTTACAAGAAGCCCAAATGAATGAGTGAATGAAAAGACATTCAAATGAGTCACACAGAGGGAGAGAGTTAGAGCGACGTTTGTTTCAACAGCTGAACCGGCGCTGCTGATTGAGCTGTGTGATTATATATAACTCAAAAAGCACATATACATATAGAATGGCGAAATTGCTTATTTTTATTTAGTCTTGAATGTATAAATACGACGGAGAATTAGGGCCACGTTACTTTTTTATATATATATTTCGAGATTAAAGTCGTACATTTACGAGTTAAATCTCGAAATTAAAAAATAATAATATTTTTTTAACATGGCCCTAATCCTCCGTCGTATATAAGCACCTAGTATGTTTGTAATATATCACATGTATACGACATATATTTTTTATTTCCGGAGCTTTATGTTGAAAATTAGAAGCTCAGGGGGCTCGGCTTCAGGCACACAGACGAGAGCACACAGAGGAGAGTAGCCAGGCTGCAGCCTTACAGTGAATATTACAGCTGAATATCACATATCTACAGCTGAGACCACATCTCCTTCTTGAAACGTCTTGGTTCATGAAGCCACGCCCCTTTTCAGTTAAAGATGACGTAGTGCAAGGGGCGGGTCCAAAGTGACCGTTGAGCGGTCAGAAACAAACATTTGAGTTGAACGGGACGAGAGTGAAGTTTACAGTCTGTGGGAGGTGAAGAGAGTGAAGTTTACAGTCTGTGGGAGGTGAAGAGAGTGAAGTTTACAGTCTGTGGGAGGTGAAGAGAGTGAAGTTTTCAGTCTGTGGGAGGTGAAGAGAGTGAAGTTTACAGTCTGTGGGAGGTGAAGAGAGTGAAGTTTACAGTCTGTGGGAGGTGAAGAGAGTGAAGTTCACAAGTCTTTTGACACTATGAGGAGGAGAAACAGTAGCAACGCCAGTAGGAGAAGCTCAACATTTAGAAGACGCAGTGAGAATTTGCACTTTGATGAATTCGGCTTTGCTCTTACTAAACGAAAGCACCAAAAAGTTCATCACCGATGTCATGATTACAGGTGCGGAAAGTAACGTTACATTTTGCTGAAGCAGAAGTATTATTTATTCAGCAAGCTGTTAGCGTTTTAAACGCTACTTTTATCTTTTATTCTATATTTGTTTATCTACTTACTTTTCCTTGTACAACATGAACACAGAAATACATAAATAGATATCTGAATATATTTATTTATATATTAATTTTATATGAATTGTTACATGTATTTATATATATATATATATATATATATATATATTAATTGATGTATTTATTTATTTATACATTATTGTATGCATTTCTCTCAACATTTATTTATTTATTTATTTATTTATACTTTAGTCATTTTTTGTCCCTCATATTTATCCCCATGTTTGTTTATGTACAATTTACGGTAGGCTATTCTTTAGAAACATGGTGTTTAGGTGGAGGTAAACTCGATGATATGGCCTATTTGGGTTCTACTTCATAGTCATTTACTCGGGTTTTGCTAATTTAACCTTAGACAGACTGTGCTCCATGATTCCAGCTAAATATTTACATTTCTTATTCATTTACATTTATACTAGGCTATCTCAATTAATAGGAAGAACAATGTCAATCAGTTTAGCCTACCCTTAAGCACAAGAAATCGTACTGAAAAGTCTTGTTTTTTTTCCTATAATCAAACTCAAACAAATCACCCAAGTAGCTGAAATCGGATATTTGTGACACATTAGTGAAGGATAAATAACTTCAGCGATTAAAGGATAAATTGGAGCTCTAACGTGCATTGTCGTTATAATCTGTCTCAAGTGATATCATTTTAAACTAAACTCAATGTGATATTTTTACAACAAGGGAACTGACTTTATACTTTGTGTGACTTCTGTTAACAGCTACCCCCAGCTGAGCCCAGTGAGGGTGAAAGAGCTGTGTGAACTACTCAGTTACTGGAATGGAGCCAGCTTTATCTGCAGAAGCCAGGTAACATTAATTCATATTTAAAAAAAAAAAGTATCAAATCTCTCAGGAATAAGAGTGATATTTACACATGCTTCTGGTTTTTCCAGATTGAGCGATTTATCAGGATGGGTATTCCTCCAAGCCTGAGGGGGAGAGTATGGAAATGTCTTCTTACTACTGACAGTCTGCGAGAAACTAGTGACTTCAACTACCAGGTACAACACAGTGCTACTTGCATCCAATAGAAGGATGGCTTTGTGTCTTCTTGAAACTAGTCATTTTGTCAGCATGTGAGGTTCAGAATGGAAACCAAAAGATGCTATGGGCCAATACTAAGAAACCAGTTCAACATTCCCAGGGTATCTTTCGCTTATTTGGCCTTATTTAGTATGGCCAGTATTTTAATGTGCATGTTCAAAAAGTGTTAGCTTCATTTTACTTATCACAACTTCACAATCATGGACAGGTCTGTTGTCAGTAGATTGTCATTTTGTACAAGCTCATAGCAAACGATGATATTAGAAAGGAATAAAGAAGCTAAACAGGATTCAGACTAAACTCAACACAGCTGCAGTGACTCATGCTAATCATTAATGCCCAATAGATCCGAATATTATAATTCCTGCTTCTTCCTTTAACTTCATTATGTTCCCATATGTGGTGTCTGACAGTTTAAGATGAAGACAGCAACAAGTATTTTCCGTAAAAATGTATATAAAAGCTTAATTAAAAGTGATAGGTAGCCCATGCTTCATTTGATGTTTTAAACAGATGTCTTCAGTGCTTTGATAATTGTAAAGAATTTAAAATATCTTTCATACAGCTCTGTGACTGAGAGATCTGATTAGACACATGTCCCTTTGTAGAATATCCCTGTGGTATTTTTACTAGCTCTATTTTTTCAGTGACTGACAAGGCTAACCAACCTGCAATGGCTCGAACTATTTTAATTAGGAAACATTCAGAAACAAATTCAGAATTGATGCAAATTCAAAAACATGTAAAAAAAAAAAAAAAAAACAGAACAAATGACCGTAATGTGCTAGCTTTACTGTAGCGCACTTTACTCGTAGCCTGAGCTATCAGGAAACTGAACAGCTAACTTCAGCTACACTTAGCAACAGCTTCTCTAGTAGAGTTAGGGTGCGTTCCAATAGTCCCTCCTATCTCCTTCACTATCCACTTTACCTTAACCCCGGGGAAAACGTCATGAGGTTAAGGAAAGATGTTAGGAGAATTCATAAAGGACTTAGAGAAAGGCGATCTCATTGCTCTGACAATCCGACCACATTTTCACTAGGTGACGTCATTAAATGCGACGGGCCGGCGGAGGTTAATGACGTGGGTCGGCCGTGTTGAAACTACAATGTTCAGAAAATGGACTACAAAAAGATCATCTAAAAAACTTTCCCCTGTGCCTTCTTACTGGTGAAATAATCCTAATTACCACAAGGTTGGGATTGAAATAAAAGAAATATAGACCACCAGGCTACAAGTAAGAAAAGTGAAACCATCAGCTTCCTGTCCAATCAGAAATCAACATCAACATAAATATGATTGTATGAAATTCATTGTTACATTTATATAAGATAGTTTTATTCATGATCCTGATAGCT